TATTCGGAGGTGAAATCTCATTTCTCTTGGAAATCTCTTCCCATGTGAACTTCATCCCAAGGGTGAGATGCGTGAACTTCATCCCTTCAAATTGCATCCTAATTTCTTGGAAATCTCTTCCCATGTGAACTTCATCCCAAGGGTGAGATGCGTGAACTTCATCCCTTCAAATTGCATCCTAATTTCATCTTTAAGAAACTTCATCCTATAGTCAACTTGGAAATCTCATCCTAGACTTTGCAAATTGCTTCCCTTCGGCCAAACCATCGCCAAAACTTCATCTGATGGATTTAAACTTGGCTTCTTTAAAATATGTGGGATATGAGATTTGAACTTATAACCTTGCATATAATATTTCAAGCTTCTTCCAACTTGTCCGTACAACCTTTTAGTTATCTTCTTGTTTCACTTGGTGTACTTCTTTCTTTCTATAGATGTTTGATCTTCAAGATAGCTTCATGCAAACTTCAAGTCACGTTCTTTCTTCTTCGGGATTTCTTGAGGGATTTCTTCTTGATTTCTCGAGAGATTTCTTCTTGATTTCTTGAGAGATTTCTTCTTGATTTCTTGAGAGATTTCTTCTTGAATTTCTTTGAGAGATTTCTTCTTCGGATGATAGTCTTCATATACGCATACATCTTCCTCTTTTGTTTGCCATTTTCACTAGGCAAATTCTTGATTTTAGGCTTTATATCTTCTTCATCCATTTCCTCAACTAATGAATTTATTTTTCCCTTTCTTGGTCTATGACTCGACTAGTCTAACCAAAATAAAATTGGGGTTCTACGATTTACAATATGGCATATCAAAATCTATTACAATTTATTCCTAACACAGTTGGCTACGAGTCGCACTCGCTCTCTTCCCGACCCTTCCCGAGTCAGACTCAGACAAGGCTATTCTGATAATTAAGTGCTTTGCTGCCAGTGTGATTCTCTCCCGGACACCTTTGATGCACTCACCGACTACTTTCACAATTGCGAGTGTCGTGCCCATCATACTTGCCGCACAGTTTGCACTGGCGCTCTCCATTCGCTGCCTTCTCTGTCGCTTTCTCCCTGGCTGATTTGAGGCGTTTTCCCGATCGCTTGTTCTTACACATTTGTGGGGGAAGTACTATTACCGTCGAAGGGTCGGCGGATGTATCGTACAACTGTTGAATTCTTTTGTTTTTTTCCCCTTGACCCATGGCGATTCTGTCCTCATCGATAAAACCTTTTTCTTTCTCTTTTAGAATTTTCTAAGTTGTTCCAGTCTATCGGTCTTTCCATTCGCCAATCCAAGACAGTTGAAAAATGTTCTCCTAACCTCTGCATCTTCTTTAGTAACTTGCTCATCTCTACTATTGTCCAGATGTGGCCTTGTTGTAATGCATGCCTTACGTGTCCAACGTTTTTTAATGTATTCCTCTGGGACTTTATCAATTCCTGCATGTTTTAATGCCACATAAATATGCCTACAAAGCAAGCCTATTATTGTATACATTCGACATGTGCATTCCATTCTCGCCTTCTCAGTGTCTAACTCCACTACGTGTCTCCTCCCACTTCCATCTTCCACAGTATATTGCATAAGAGTTAATTCCAGCAATGGTCCCCCGAGTATGATAATTTTCCAGATTTGATCCCCGTCTTTTAATTTGGACAATTTAACCACCTGTCTATTAAATTCTTTCCAATTGAGGTCCTTCCGTCAATTGGGGGTTAAGTTAGCGTCAATGTCAGGGGCATTTTGGTACATTTACTTACTATGCGTATTTGTACTCTTTAATACGTGAAATAAAATAAAAAAATATCATCTTATACGCAGTCGCTGAGATGCTCTGAAATACCCAATTTATTCTCTAAAATCGTTTTGATTTGCCCAACCCTAATCGCAGTCGCTGAGAAGGAAGCAAGCAAGCTAGGTAATGAAAATCCCCAAATTTCCCCATATTAAACCATAATCACAGTCGCTGAGAAGCTTGGGAGAGAACGAACGAAGAACATTGATGGAATCGAGAGGAAGCAAGCTAGCGTTGGTTGCAACTCTGCTCCAGCAGGTAAGTTTGGTTCCCCGACTTGTTTTTATGGTGTAGGAGAACGAAATGGTACATGTGGGGTCCGAATGTCTGTGTTGTGTTGTTTAGTATATAATTTATGTGTTGTCTGTTGTATATTGTGGTTAGTATAGGTACATGTGGGGACCATAGGTACATGTAGGGACCTTTTTGTGGTTGAAAATGGTGTGTGGACCAATGTTTGTCTGATTATGCATATGTTGGGGACCATAGTTGTTGTTTTTTTCTAAAGCATTTACTGTAAAGTAGTGTAAAGTGGACTTCCATGTTGTGTGCATTACAGTGGACCATTATATGTTGTCTAAAGTGCATTGGAAATTTGAATCATTGATTTCAGGGATTTTTACTCTTAAACTAAGACATGGAGGAATGATAAGTCAAGATTTACCAGCTAAATATTTAGGAGGCAGTGTTAGTGTATTTAATTAGAAGATGAGTGGGGGGTTAATTTGTTTAAAGGAGAAGGTTGGGGAGATTGGTTATGCAATGGATGATAGTTTGAGGTACTTCATGGCCACAGAAATGGGGTTGCAAGAATTGGTTAAAGACTTTGAGGTTTGGAATTTACTTAACCAATGTTGTAGTCCTAAGGTCTTAGAAATCTGGATGGTAAAAGGAGGGATTGGTGGTGATGCAGATGTTGGCAGTGCAAATGAAGAGGAGTATGATGCAAATATTTGACTCTTATGTATTGTAGGGCCTTCACTAAGTTCCAGTTTGTCCATTCCAGTCACTGTTGTGGGAGAATCAATGCAAGCAAATGTGCCTTGTAAGTTATACAACCAGTCCATTCATGTGCACTTATAATGTCAAAACAAAACTTATAATTTCATCTAATCTATTACTATGTGCAGATCAACAACACAATAAAACTGATGGAAACCACTAAGTAACAGGAAAAAGAAAAGGTCAAAGTGATGGAACTAAGTCTACTAGGAAGAAATTACCAATCAAGAAGCATCGTACAAGATCATCAACCACATTCAAGTCTAAATTCTATGGGAATGACAAAGATCCAATCACTTTGGATTAAGGGAACTACTAGTTACTGCTTTTTTGGATTAGTGACTTTTATGAATTGTTAGGTCACAATTTGGCATGTGTTAATGTTGGCTTAGACAATTGCCTTTTGATCTGTAATGGGATTTATATGCCAATTATGATGTGTTTTGGTGTCTACATGCCTTTAGATATGTAATGGGATCTATCTACTATGTTTTGAAATACATTTGTAATGATCTTATTTATATGATATTTTTGTTATAAATGGTATTTGGCTTTCAGATTGCAGTATGCAGTGTGCAAATATGGTATGCATTTTCACATTGCATTATGCATTGTCAGAAGCAGTTTAATACAAAAACCATAACTCAATTTTGATTGCATTGTGCTTAGACTTACAATTGTCAAATTACAAATACAATTCTTCAATAAGCAGAACTACTACCTAACATAAGGTTATTCTTTCCTCTAGCTACGTTCACAACTATAACTACAAATAACACAATGCATACTGCTATAACTACACATGTCCTAATACCCTTGCCATGTCCACAGTTGCTTCTTTTGACAACAACATTAGTTTGTAGCCTCATTTTTAGCAGTGTAATCTCTTCTTCATGTCGATTGATCCTTCTCAATAAACCAGGAATAATTCTTCTTGACCTTGCGCACATTGGAGGATCATGCCATCTAACAAAACCACACCTTTGACCTCCCTGCACCAAAAGCTGATAATTACATATCATTTTGAATTCATTTGCCTTACTTAACAGACATTGTGCCTTCAAATATTACTCAACAGAATGTATTGCTCGAAGAAAAAACAATATATTCACACTCAAATTTTCGGGAAAAAAAATAAATTTGTTTCAACTGCAATAAGAACCCTTAACTATATTAATGAAAGCACTCACATTTTCAATAGAACATTGCCAATATCTTCTACCGGGATTATCATTCGTCCATGATGTTTGAAGCTTCAGACGTTGCCCACACTCACAATTTGGAATGGAAACCAACTCACCATAGATGTATTCCTGCATTCTTGAAGATGAAGAGCTCTCGCTGTTATATCTTCTAGCCATCTCGCTGCTAATTCGCTGGAAGGAAGAGGAAGTTGAATTCGGATGTGGGCTTCGATGAGGAAGATGAATTCGGAGGAGGAAGATGAATTCGGATGAGGGCTTGACTTCTAGGGCTTCGATGATGAAGATGAATTCGGACTTCAAGGGCTTCGATGAGGAAGATGAATTCGGACTTCTAGGGCTTCGAGGAGGAAGATGTATTCGGACTTCTAAAGGAGTCGATGAGGAAGATGAATGACTTCTAAGGGCTTCGATGAGTATTTATTCCCGTATATTTCACGTATTAAAGAGTTCAAATACGCATAGTAAGTAAATGTACCAAAATGCCATTGAAATTGATGATGACTTAACCCCCAATTGACGAAAGGACCTCAATTGGAAAGAATTTAATAGACGGGTGGTTAAATTGTCCAAATTAAAAGACGGGGACCAAATCTGGAAAATCATCATACTCGGGGACCATTGCTGGAATTAACTCTATTGCATAATCGTTTCACACTCAATGCATTCACAAAGTTTGCACGTGAAACAACTTGCAGCTCCCAAAAACTCCCATGTCTTTCTTGGTTGGACTAACCGGCGATTTCCTCCTGCACCTCATAGAATATATTAATTGTGTACACTTCCGCTGCTTATCTTTCCAATGCGAATGGTGTCTTCAACGTAGGTGCATATCCGTCGCATACCGCATTTAACTCTCCCTGTTTTCGTTTTTGTTTGCCTATTACTCCTTCAATGTTATGAGACTCTAATCTCGAAGTGGTTCGTAACAAGCCACCCATTTCAACGTCAGTGAAGTATGTGGTCGTACGTATTGGTTCTCGGCCCATTGCACGTTTGAAGTGTTCTAGCAGCTATGAGTATGACTCCACATCTTCTTTTGCAATTAAACCAGTCGCAAATGTAGTGGACTTTTTGTGGTTGTCCATGCTTGTGAATGGTACGAAGACGAGACTATACCTGCGCGGAGTTCACCCAATTAGTCATCACAACAAACGGTATCCATATCATACAAATTTAACAGTTGCACACACTCTTCAATCAGAACACAATCACATTCAACTCTTAGTATGCACACGTAGTACCTATCTATATGTTCATTTTCTTTCATTTTTCCTTATGCACACACGCGTTATATGATCGCACATTCACAACCATCCAACAATATTAGGCAATTAGCATTCGCACTCATTTTTAATTCACCCATCTACATCTCATTCTTACGCCAAAAAATAAAGATTGCGATGCATGCTTTACACATAACGTACCTGTTCGTTTTGTATGTTGCGTCAAAGGTCATTGCATCTCCAAAGAGGGCAAATTTGTTGCGCCCATATTCATCGGCCCAGAATATACGACTCAACTGCTCTTGTTCGTCTACGGCATACTCAAAGTAGTAGTCTAGCCAAAACTCCTTTCTTTCTTGGCATTTGGCGACAAGCATTTGGGCGCCCCGCCGCTTCATGTATGCCAATATCTCTCTCTTGTGATTCTTGAAATCAGTACTAGTCGCACCGACATGTTCAAATCCACCAACCATTTCTCCATATAGATTAAAGCTTTTGATTGGTCCAATGTTAGTCTTTCCACATTTTTCGATGAATTCTTTATGCCCCATGTCTAGCTTGCGATTCACTTTCATGAACGGTTTTAACTGTTCCTCGCACAAACAGTGGGTGTGCCTTTCTTCAAATGATGTCACTTTGTATCCACTATCCCCGTCTGTATTAAATTTGAAGTGTGCGCTGCATCCAACTCTGTTTGATGGACGACGCCTTTTCAGCGTTTCACTTGTTTCCCCTTTTTCGGGGTCTGTAACTTGCTTAAATCCTTCACGTGAGCATACCAAATATTTATGCAATACTTTGCTCACTTTGTCCTTCCTATCACCACTACGCCACACATCAAATCCAACAACTGCAGCATAATGTACATAAAAATCTATGCCATCTTCAAGAGTCTTAAACTGTTGCCCAACTACTGGTTTCATTTTTGGATCACATTTTGTTATCCAGTATGTTGTATTTCCAAGGGAGATTTCCATGTCACATGTTTCGGTGCCATTATTATATTCACTCTCACCTGCTACATATCACAATCAATTCTTTTCGTTACACTACACTTCAAATAAAAACCAAACACAAATAAAAACTGCTACTTATTAAATAAAAACCAATCACAAATAAATTGCACCAGTGCACGTCTGAACGTCCATTTGTAACACCATTAACAGTCCCTCATTTTTCCTACAACTTATATCACACCAGTGTGCGTTACCATCCTCGCACACGTCCTATCATCACGTAGCACACACCATCACCCGCACACATGAACATCATACCACGAATATACTATTTATACCATACCAGTAACTTTTTTTTTTTTTAACTTTTATACCCTAACCCATTACTAACTAGTTGCACACGGCAAATCATCTCGTATCACACACCAAAAACCAATCACAAATAAATTGCACCACTATGCATCCTAACGTCCATTCATAACACCATGAAAAGTCCATCATTTTCCTACCACTTATATCACACCACTATGCATATCACCATTCTCGCACACGTCCTATCATCACGTTGCACACACGATCATCATACAACGAATATACTATTTATACCATATTATTTACCCTTTTTTTAAACAAAAATTTTATACCCTAACCCGTTACCAACTGGTTGCACACGTCAAATCATCATGTAGCACACACCATCACCCTAACCCTCCGACATTATACAACAATAATATTATTTATCAAATACTCGTTCTCCTTTATTTTTTAGTGTTATACCCTAAACCATTTCTAACTGGTTACACACGTCCTACTGTCACAAACCACAAACCATCACCCAAACACTCGGTCATCATACAACAATAATACTATTTAAACACTACCACTTCTCATTTGTTTTTAGGGTTATACCGTGTACCATCAACTCCCTGATTGCATATGTCATATCATCACATTGCACACACCATCACCCATTAATACTACGTATATACTGCTCGTTCCCTCTTTTTTTTTTTTTTTTTTTTTTTATTTTTTATTATACCCCAACCCATTACTAACTGGTTGCACATGTCCTATCATCACATAACACACACCATCACCCAATAAACAGCCATTATACAACAATAGTACTACTAACATACAACTGTTGTGGACAAAAAACATAAAATATATGTACATGAGTCTTCGGTCGCAAACAGATGAGAAGAAGCCATTAACACTGTGTTCTTTGTGCTCAACGCCGGTCTTTTGCATGGATAATATGAATCTTCCGATTGTATACTGTTTTTATCATCATACTTATATGAAAATATTATTAAATGCGATTTTCACCATATAAAGATTATTGGTACATTACTACTTTGCCCCTTATTCTTATTTCATTATATTATATTATATATTTATTACTCAATCATGACCATTAAATTATATTAGATGGATGCACATGATGTGTTATCACGTTCTCAGCTAAGCACATGTTCTCATTGGAACCCTAATATATATATATATATATATATATATATATATATATATATATATATATATATATATATATATATATATATATATATATTGCACTCAGGTGCGATTGTGCGAATGAAGTGCCCAGGAGGGAATATGCGAACGAATCAGCGCGCGACACGTGTCCAGATCTAATGGATTAAAAAAAAATGCAGTGTCATTTTCGTAAATAATTAAACATCGAAGTGCAAGTAAAATGTATTACAAGTGCATTTTATCAATTTACAATTTTACCAAGAAGGGCATTTGGTCTAGTGGTATGATTCTCGCTTAGGGTGCGAGAGGTCCCGAGTTTAATTCTTGGAATGCCCCTTTTTACCAATTTTTCATCACTGAATGGAACTTCTCCTTCTTTTCCCAATTTACAATTTTACCAGGATGGACATTTGGTCTAGTGGTATGATTTTCACTTAGGGTGTGAGAGGTCCTCTGTTTGGCACTACTCAGTGAGCTTGCCCCATGGTCTAACATGAAAATTGCAAAACCCCTGGCTGATATAAAAAATCACAGAAACATATATATTTTTGCTAAAAATTGGCTGAAACATATTTAGATGGTGGGTAAGCATTATGTTCTTTCTCATGATCTTCACGTGTATATTGTTCCCCTAAATGGTCTAAAGTTGCACCTTTTTTTTTTCTTGTTAGTTCGAACTTCGAATGCCCAGAATATTTATAAGATTTTTTTTAAAAAATATTTCCACGAATTTTTTTTATGACATAATATGCTATAGTTAGTTAACAATCTAATAATTTATTTTTTTATTTAACAACAAAGCATCTATAATGTGTCACATTAATTAAAATTTTACTACCAAAATAACTAGTATAGTACCCGTGCGATGCACGAGATGGATATTGTTCAAAATATTGTGTAATTGTGTGAATAATTTAATACATTATTATATTAAAATATTGAAATTACAAAATAGAAACAATAATGATAACACTTTAACATACAATATAAAAAAAAAAATTGTCACAAAATTACAAATTATTGAAGATTTCATGGTATACCACGTTGGTTGTTGATGTAGCATTTGTTCTTGAGTCGTTGACAATTAATATTTTAAGTCCACTTGGGTTGTTAACTCGAGATGCAACCACGTACAATTGACCATGCACAAAAACTGATTTTTTAAGTAATAATCCTACATGTGACAATGTTTGACCTTAACTTTTGTTAATAGTCATTGCATATGATAACATCAACGGGAATTGTCTTCGTTGAAACTTGAATGGCAACCTGGTATTAGACGGGATCCAATTTTTCGATTTATAATTTTAATAAACTGAAATCCAAATATTGAGTTTTAGATCTGAATCATAACCGAAAACTTTTAATTCGATTGCTATAGTGTCTGGTTCAGTTAGAACTGAACCGTGGTCATCCCTACGTATACGCAATAATTTGTTAGAGAAGAAAAATAAATAAAATGTTTACTTTAAGGGTAAAAATGTCAATATAATATATCAGGGGGAAAAAGCGCCACTTTTAGAATAATTGAAGGGGCTAATGTGCTTACATGAATAATTCAGAGGGAAAAAGTATTATAAGTATATAACTTAGGGGGGGAAAGTGTCATTTTCCCTTAAAATATTGTTCAATTGTGTGCAATAATTATAATTTAATTTATTATTTTTATACAGGAGTAAATAATAATTATAAAATTATATTTAAATTGCGAATTGACAACAAAAAAAAAAATTGTACTGACCTAGTTTGATCTCTATACTAATTTTTTTTTTCCAGATACATTATTCAAATTTGATGATTTTACCGGCAATTCATGAGATAGACCAATTGATTTCTATTTATGATGATACTTACCTGTTTAGGTTTTATGTTTCTAAATAAGACTAATTTTCGTATTAATATGTTTGGGTATATACAGATCTGAAAATATATGAGATTTACTTTCAGTTCTATAGATATGTCTAAAAGTTCTAAACAAAAATGTTAGTGTTACATTTTGTTCATTTTTCCCGTGCGGTGCACGGCCATATATATAGTATATAAAATATACAGTATAATATAATAAGAGAAAAAATATAAAGTATGAAAATCTAGAAATTTTAAAATGATAACCCAAATATATAATTATAATTTTGTATATATGATACTTTTGATAGTTTTTTCTTTTATTTGTGATCAAAGTTTTAGTTTTGAAAGCTTACCCACTCACAATGCACCGATAAACAAAATGATAAGTTTATAACTCCATTTCATATGTTTTTCAATTTAATTTATGCTTCAGAACATTAATACATTACAAAATCAGTTTGTGATATTTCAAATATGATCTCTATCATTATATTGTGTTTTCAATTTTATAATATGTTATTTTCAGAATTACTTGAACTCTTGAAGGATAAATAATATTCCTATCTGAGCTGTTCCTCTTTATGTCGTCTCAGATTCTTACAGTCTACACAGCTCTTTATCAAACCCCAAACAAAAACCCTCAAAAACCCTCTTCCCCGATCAACCGCTCATTATCCTTCGTCGCGGAGCTGCTTTGATGGATTTCCAAGTGGTAGTCTTAGCCGGCGGCTTCTCCAAAAATCTCGTTCCTCTCGCTTCCAAGGTTCCTCCTCTTTCGAATATTTTGCTTGCATATGGTTTATGATTTTCATTTCAGTGCCTTTTTTTTTTTTTTTTTTTTTTTTTTTGAATTTGTTGTTGTTTGAAATAGAATGGAAATTTTCAGGAGGTGCCAAAAGCGTTGCTTCCGGTGGCCAACCGGCCGGTGCTGTCTTACGTGCTGGACCTTCTCGAGCAGAACAATCTCAAAGATCTGATTGTCGTATGTTCCTTACACATGAGCGGTTTGTTATATATTTCGTCGTGTTATCAGCTGCAGTGTGTTTAGGTACTCAATTGCCAAATTAGGGCTCTTGAATTGAGTTGTAGAGGTTAATTTGATGTGTATTAACTGTAGGTGGTTGAAGGGGAAAATGCAGCTGTTCTAATAGGGGCTTGGATATCAGGTGCCTATGTTGACCGTCTACATGTTGAGGTAATTAGATGGTCACAGCTCACTGTCTATTTTTGTTTGTTGTGTTTTTAAAGGAAAATGGATGGTTTTGGTGCTGCATTTTGTGCCAAAACTTTGAGAATGGAATATGGAGGGTTTAATAGAGAAACATCAAAAAGCACTTAGATGAGATGAACAAATTTATTGCACACTCTACCAGTTTGATGATGTTCACCAAAATGTACTGCCCAAATTATTCTCACCATGCAAGTGCTTGAGTGCTTGTAGCGTGTTGTAGGGGTGTTTATATAAAAACATCAAAGCTGTGAAATCACCCCAAACCACATTGTAATGGTCCAATAAACTGCAGTTTCTTTCAATTCTAAATAACCAATGGGTTAGAGTTTTTATAAACTGCAATGTGTCTGGTAGTTTTGGCATGTACACTTATATACAACTAAGGTTGATTGAAGTAAAGTTCATTTGCATTTGAACTAGTAACAAATAGATAGTTATTTGTCTAAAGAATAAAGGAATGTGTAAATTTACGAAAGTAGTATACTTTACCGTTTTTAAACAAAAAAAATTTAGAAATTTATTTTATTAATACTAAGTTTTAAACCGAACCATGTTGTTTTTCAACTTCATGAGTGGTTTCTGGTTGACTTTTTAGAAAATCGCTCTATATTGGTTGGTCACAGAAATATATAAAAACTGCACAAAGCCAGCCGTGAACACCCATAAGTGCAGAGTGCTTGTATAGTTTTCATGTTGTAAGTGTAATTAAGAACAAGGGGAAATTCACATGTTGCAATGTAAAAACTAATGCTCTGTAACAAATGAATACCAATGTTGATATGTGGTGACTGGAATGAACTCTAATAAAGCCAAATTTACTTGCTTTAGTGTTGCAATAAGTCTATCTTGTTGTACAACAGTACAAGTTATGATGATTTTTATGTATGCTTCACTGCTTGTTGCTTAATTAATAATTCATGCCTAACAGGTTGCGGCTGTCCCTGAAGATGAAGGAACAGCAGGAGCCCTGAGGGCCATTGATCACCATTTGACAGCAAAAGACATCTTGGTTGGTATTCAACTTGGCATTTGAGTTTAGTACATGTTCCATAAGCTCAGCTAGTTCTGGCTTTTGTAGGTTGTGAGTGGTGATCTTGTTTCTGATATTCCTCCTGGGGCAGTCGCAGCAGTTCATAGACGACATGATGCTGTAGTTACTGCAATGCTTTGTTATGCTCCGGTTGGTGGGCCTTCAGAGTCAGGCTCCTCATCAAAGAAACCAGCACGATATAATATTGTAGGACTGGACCCAACAAAACAATTTCTACTACATATAGCATCTGGTGAGACATCTTTTTTCCTTCGTGTTATTCTATCATCCACTTGTAGTAGACACTATTAAGCATTTCCCTATCTCAGGATTTGAAGTTGAGAAAGACATGCGTGTTCAGAAGAGCATACTCAGAGCAGTTGGCCAAGTATATTAGTTTCATCCTCTGCATTCTCATATCTTTTTAATCGTCATACAATTTAGTGCTTCATTTGATGAGTATAATTTATAGAAGGCTCTCCTTCTGAAACATTTCATATTTTGTTGTTCATTATGTTCTGAATGTGAGCATTTTTGGTACAATAAGCTTCTCCGTTGTTCATTGACTACATATTAGAATACTACAAAGTTACAAACTTCTGTTATTGGATCCCCTCCTCTCAACACATTATTTTGTAGATGGACATTCGCCCAGATCTGATGGATGCTCACATGTATGCATTTAAGAGGTTTGAGGCTCTGCTCTTTATCCTGGTTCATAGTTCACTTTATTTTTCCATTTACATTGAATTGTTCTAATTTTAATTGTAATCCTATTAGAACTGCTTTGCAAGAAGTTCTAACTCTGAAACCAAGTTTTCTGAGCTTGAAGTGTGATGTCTTGCCGTATCTTGTGAGAAGTCAGCTGGTTAGTACAACGTACTGCATAATGTTTTTGGTTTCTTCTTTTTTTGTATTATTATTTTTTCCATATTAGTCTTGAACTAGTTCTTGATGACATGATATGTTAGAGATCTGAGTTATCACTAAATGGAGTGCAAGCTGAAGAAAATGGGAATTGTAAGGATGCTTCCCAGAACGGTACAGTTTTGCTAGCTCAACTTATGGCCAATGCCTCTACACAAAGTTTTCATGACCTATATACCCTGGGTCCTGAAGGTTCTGCTCCTGCTCCAAGAAAAACCCATAAATGTTGTGTTTATATTGCCAACAACAGCAATTACTGTATGCGCTTGAATTCCATCCAAGCCTTCAGTGACATAAATCGAGATGTGAGATTTGCTCGTCTCATTTTAACTTGCACATTTTTATATAATTTTTAGCTCATTTTAATTTGTAATTGCTCAGGTCATAGGAGATGCTAGTCACCTATGTGGTTACTCTTTCTCTGCACAGAACAACATAATTCATCCTTCATCTGTGCTTGGATCAAAAACCACGGTGAGATGAAATACAGAAGTGTAATTGAGTTAATATTTTATCTTAATTATGTGCATTATTTTTGTTGTTGATGTTATTGTTTATTATTACTACTATTATTTGTCTAGGTGGGACCACATTGTATGCTGGGAGAGGGTTCAGAAATGGGTGATAAATGCAGTGTGAAGAAGTCCATTATTGGGCGCCATTGCCGGATTGGTTCAAACGTAAAGGTATAATATAACTTTTATCTGGCATTATAAAGGGAAACATTTATTTCCAGGGTTTTTGCATCTTATTGAGATGGTATATCCCATCACTGATTGATTTGAATTATGCAGTAGTAGAAGGTTGACCAATAATAGATGTGCGCATCCCTGTCTGTATGCAGGTAGTCAACTCTGTTGTGATGAACCATGTTACAATTGGAGACGGTTGTTCAATCCAAGGATCTGTTATTTGCAGTAATGTTCAGCTCCAAGAACGTGTCGTATTAAGGGATTGCCAAGTATCTTCTCTCTCTCTCTCTCTCTCTCTCTCTCTCTCTCTCTCTCTCTCTCACACACACACACACACACACACACACACACACACCCGTGCTTTTCCTCAGCATATCAATTTCATATGTTTCTTTTTATGTCCATCCTCACACTTTGTTCTGCACCTCCAATACAAGGTTGGAGCAGGTTTTGTGGTCACGGCTGGCAGTGAATACAAAGGAGAATCTTTGGCAAAGAAAGAAAAACAATGACAATCACGTTTTCGTTAGTTCTTTGGTTCCTTGCCTTCTTCATAGGATTTATGTTGCATTGACATGGTTCTTGTCCTCGTGGGAGGGAACGTCCTGCCTCCTTCCCCATAGGAACTTACGCTATGGTCACCTGCTACTCAACCTCACATTAGATTGTCTCGACAGTTTTTGTTTGTTTTGCGCTATAGTTTGCTTTAAGAACCATTCCCCTTTTCTTACTGTTTCATTCACTAGGGAATTCATTGTACAATCATCGACTTGATAATTGCCTAAAGGCGAAAGAAAATGCTTCTGTACTATGTAACTTGAATGGGTTGGCATGTGTTTATGTGACTTTTTGCCCACATTTTTACTATGTAAACTCTCCCTGTCAAATGGTATTTCCTCCATTTATTCCGACTTCTAAAATATAGATACAAAATTAGAGTCATTCTTCTGTTGTTAAATGAACATAGCATACAATTATTTATTACAACTATAAGTATAGTTTCTGATGGTATCTTACATTTTTATTTATTTATTTTTTGAATTTTGTTTTGTACAGTGAGTTTTTCCGAGTTAATTTTTAGGGAAAATGACGAGTTTGGTCATTGAGTTATAATTGTAGTGATGACTTAGTTCCTATGTTATTACTGTATCCATTTTAAATTTCTCGGTTATGAGCGAAGTGGTGAATTTAGTCTTTGACGTTAGTGGTGTGTTGATAGAGTTAATTTCATGAGCAAAGAAGTAAATTCCTTAATAATTATATGCAATATAACCTGTTTCTCCCTTTTACAAATTTAGCCAAAACACTTTTTCCCAAATTGACAAAAGTCCTAAGTTGCTTACGTAATCAGCAAAGAAATCATACTATGATGTTGGTTTGGAGAAAAAACCCTGCAATGTCATTTAGAATGTTGTTGGATACAAATCGATCTCCACTTATAAGATGTAATTTTTCTTATTATTATTACTAGTATTTTTACCTGTGCGATGTACGGAATAAATTTGTTGTAATATATTAAGAATATTTGAATAGATATATAATTATTTAAATTAGAACATCAAATATTATATAGTGTAATTTTTTTTTTTAATTTTTAGTGCAATTAAAGATATGGTTTGGATCGTTTATGTATTTTGATGTTATTATTGCTTGAATTTGTGCAAATAATTGCTCAAATTAATAGCTAATGTCTAGATGTGTACATGTGGTGCTATAACTTTGAAGAGGAGCCCTCTTTTCTAACATTGTTGATGTGGGATTACAAAGAGGAGCCCTTCTTCTTCTTTGGCACCTTTAGAGCTTTCAAAAACAATAACTTATAAGTGGCACCTTTAGAGCTTTCAAAAATAATGTGAAGTCTAAGCTGGTAGTTAGATTATATTGCACATTGGTTATATGCTATGCTCAACACGCCCCCTCACGGATTCTTCTTCTTCTTCAGCAGTATGATTTAAACTTATAAGTGGCGCCTTTAGAGCTTTCAAAAATAATAACTTATAAGTGGCACCTTTAGAGCTTTCAAAAATAATGTGAAGCCTAAGTTGATAGTTGGATTATATTGCACATAGGTTATATGCTATGCTCAACACGCCCCTTCACGGATTGCACATTGGTTATATGGCATGACTCTGATACCAAATTGAAGCATGCTCCATCTCAATATAAGCCTAAGCTGATAGTTAGATTGCACATTAATGGTTATATGCTATGCTCAACAATCTATTACATACGCAGCTTTTTTGATAACCATCATTGATTGATGCAAACTTGATATATGCTTTTTTTTTTTTTAAATAAATTATGAATCATGATCATTGTGAAGCTTATTGGCCAAAGCGAATGTGTTATCTACTTGTTCACACGACAAGTGTTGTTGACAATTGCTTGCTTATAAAACCGATGCTTATCCCTTGTCATTTAGTCTGCTATATATGTACTTCTGTCCATCATTTGGTCTATAATGCATAGTGTCTCAAATCTTGTAAGTATCATTCTCTTATCTTTAATTACATTATACGGGGTGGTGCTAGTTTAAAGGATTATTTTCTTTCTCTTATTATGCATTCTTTTTATATTTCTGTTGAGACTCTGGCTGTCCAACGGAGAAAAAAGAAAATAAAATAAAATAAAAAATGGAAGAGAGAGTGTAAAACAAAGTACTTGATGCTTTTTTCCATTAAGATTGATGAACAACCAACAACCATTAACACGGAACAAAAGCATCATTCATCACCAACATCAAAGACAAGCACATCCATTCCCTTCTGTTTATTCATTCAACTTCTCAGCAACCACCTACAGTGAAGGAGAATAAACAAATTGTCGGGATAAGCTAAAAAGATCTTTCTCTTCGAAAGGAGAAGTCCACTCGAGCAACCCACCTCCCGAGGTCTCTGCTACACCTACTCCATCCTGCAATCGAGGAATTGAAACCCCATTGGATAGAACAGGCCACATAGCAGCAGCCTTCTTGGCACCAAGTCCAGACGCAAAGGAATCATATGTACGAGAATTATTTTGCATATATGAGGTCATTGAGCCCCATTGCCCTCCTGATCTCGATGATGATGACCCACAATCCAAACTCCAGTCTATGTTAGTGTAATCAAACTGCGGCATAGAGCAACCATTTTTCCAGTCCACAGGTGACAATGAGCCTGATGGAGGATTGGTGCCCAAGCCAGAGAAAAGTCCAAGAGAAGCTGCAGCAAGTGTCTGAGGCTGTGAAGTACCTGTTCTATCCCACAAACTATTACTCCTGTTTGTTCCTGGGGATTCAAGTGACCCGTTGCTTGATACAAGTGGCTGCTGCTGCTGCTGTTGATAATGAAGTTGGTTATACAATTGGTTTGTACTGACAGCATTAGAGTTCAGACTCCTTGTGCCAGGGACATGTTGCATCAATCCATTTGGTTTTGTTTTTGTGGGTTCAAAACTATTAGGATACCAACCTGCAGCATTCCCAGGTGGAGATGAACTTATGCTTGAGGAGGGAGTCTGCTTTTGACTGATGGATTGGGGTCGCTGCATCACTATTACAGGTTCTCTTACACTTCCTAGCTGTAGACTCTTCAATTCATTCCCAACAGTCACATACCGGGCTTCGGTCTTTGCAGTTGGAGTTGAGGCTTGCAAAGGAGAAGCCAAAGAATACGAAGAAGAAGAAGGATTTGATCCTGCTCCTACCCACCTCTTGTCATTAGGCACAATTATTTGTGGTGGTTTGGCCCACTCCAATTTTGGTTGAACTCTCTTCAATGATTGTGGATCTAAAGAAGAAGTTGCAGTGGCTGTAACTTCTGTATAATTAAAGTCTTTCTCATCCCTCTTCTGCTGTAGAGTAGTGGATGAGACTGCTTTTGCCGGTGCCCTTATTGAGTTCTGACTACAAGCTATTGGAAGCTTAGTACCGCTCATGGTAGGAGGATCACCATTTTCTTCTGGCTTTGGTGGCACAAGAGGAGGCTCCTGCTTTTGTGCCCTCAAAGTTTCTTCAGCCTTTTCAAGATCACCTTCACAAGCAACTATAGCTCTTTCAACCTCCTGCCTGGAGCACTTATACCTAAGTTCCAAATCGGCAATTCGAGCAAGCTCTTCTGCTATATCAATTTTCAAATTACCTCCACCACTGATTTTATGTTCCTTTTGCTTGTCTGCTTCTTCATTTCCTTCAAACAGCCATGCCACTGATTCTTCCACTCTGCCTTCATTCAGAATAAGAGCCATTGTGGCTCGTTCTTGAGAGAACCCCATTGCCACAAGTTGCCGAGCAAGTGCTTCTACCTTTCTTGACATGAGAAAGCCGCTGCACTTTTCATGTAGTTCTTGTGCTCGCCTCTCCTTTTGGCGTTGATGTTTCCTCTCATTTTTTTGCCGGATTTTTTCCCGCTTGTCATTATCAGCACCAGGTACTGTGTCTTGCTTGGGAATGGGAAGGGATGTTTTCTCTTTATGGTCCTCTGATTCACCAGACCAGCTACCATTGTTGGAAACAGAATCATACTCGGCAACATTTCCAAACAAGTTACCAATATGATCATCTGTCTCGTCTATGCCTCTGAAACGACCATTGACAAGGGTAGGAGCATTGAAAGATACAGGAGCTGAGTCCAATGTATGGAATGTTCCCAAAAGAGGATTGTATCCGCTAGTTGGGATCCCACCACCTGCATTTGCATGGCTTGAAGATTTTGGAGAGGTCTTAGGGGCTTCCTTGGCAGCCCTTTTGTCCTTGGACTTGGATCTAGATGCTGGAGACATACTCAATTTGAAGCCTACAATCAGGAAGGCAAATTATTCAGTTGGTGAATGCTATTAAAAGCAGGCGAGGCCAAACAAACTACGATCTAATATTCTAATGTAAATTCCAACATAAACAGTAAGCCTATTTTTCTGCAATATAGTGACTCAGAAGGCACATGTGTCAAACATCAGAATTCAAGTGAGCCACAATTGATAACCAAACCCAACCCCAGCTGTCATCAGAAAACACAGGTTGGTTTATCCAGACCAAGAAACAGTGGGGGTCAATTTAATTAAGAATTAGAAATTATTTTATCCCATTGAGTTTGTTACTCTTGGCCAATTTATACTTGTTAAGAGAAATGGACAACAACGGAGACATAATATAGAAAGGGATAAATACTGGGTTTTCACAACAAATATAAAGTATACGAAATGCACAATGGATGCATATTTGGTTCCCTATTTAATTTTGCTGTGGAAGGATATCAGATAATATCATTCACTAAATGCATTTCTAAGTTGCAGAATGCATTTCTAATAATGAAAATTTATCTCCTCTATTATGTAGAGTTCTTAATTGGATTCATTGTAAACTAAAGGAATCACCAGATTCATCAGATAGGATCACATTCAACAGCTTATAGCTTCGCCCTTCAGAACATTCCAAAACTTCTGCTGTATCATTCAGCTCTTCCCTTCCCCAATGAAAAGAAATTTTAAGAAAAATAGAGGGAAAAATAGTTGAAAGAGATCAAACCTCAAATAATCCTCGAAAGTTGCACAAATTGCAACCTCCCCCTCCCCCCCCCCCCCCCCCCCCCCCAAAAAAAAAAAAAAAGATTCCATGCAGATTCATTTCCAGCACATTCAAACTGCAATTTTTTCTTACACCCTAGCATATCTGCTCATAACTGGAGGTATATACGTATCTATCCAATTGCACACATAAACACATAAACACATATTATTTGCCGCAGTCAACGACGGGCATCAGCGCCTCAGATGCCCAAAGCAGATCAGAACACACACATTTCCCTTCAATCAATCCTCAAATCCCCCGATTCACACCGACCAAAATCCCGAATCCAATAATAACAAAAATGCATACATGGGAATGGAAATCTCATCTTCAACCAGCACAAAAAAAAACGAATGCTTATCAGAGAAATGACGGGATACATACCTGTTACA